CAGAACACATTTGAACTTTTTTTCTTATACATCTTTCTAATGTCTATCCAGGAGTAGATATTGATATGTCCTATATCCAATAACAAGTAAGATAGAAGACAAACCAGTTAGAATAGACCCTAGCCACAGTGTGAGTCAGGTCCTAGAGGCTGCCTGTACATTAACCTCTAATTGTGTCATTAACTGCGAATTAAACTTTAATTGCTCTACTATGGAGAGGTCAGGCATCCTGAGAGAGACCTACAGTGGAAGGACCACTGTAGAACTCAGGACCACAGCCTTTTTACCAGCCTCTATAGCTCTACTGGTGGTTTTGTTTCATTTTGCATGAATAATATATCCAAAGTATTTCATGGGACATACTTGTTTAACAGGTAAAAATTATGTACATTTATAGTATACAAGATATTATTTTTGTATACATAAACATTGAAGAATGACTCAATCATGCCAACAACATCTTATCATTTTGGGGGGCTGAGGACATTTAAAATCTGCTCTTAGCAATTTTCAAGTATACAATACATCATTATTTACTGTAATCACCATATTGTTCAATAGATCTTTTCTGCTTACATATAGATTAGATATCAGTCTTGGCTTCTCTATTGAAATAGTCTAGATTAGAATTTGAAGTTGCCACCCACAAAAATAGTCCCTTACCCAAGCTTACTGTACAAAATCAATCACTAAGACAGTTATAGTATTTTTAAAAWTTTTATAGTTGTAGATGGACAGAAGGCCTTTATTTGATTTGATTATTTTTATATGGTGCTAAAGATCAAACCCAGGGCTTCACACATGCTAGGCAAGTGCAATGACATTAAGTCTGCTTGATTTATTTTTCTAAGGACAGGAGTTTAACAAAATTATTTTTTTTAATTTAATAATCTCTAAATTTAGATAGGTTTAAAAATGTAGATGAATCTTTGGGTTTTGATTTCATATAAAATTAAAACACCTCTTTTAAGGTAAGTAAAAGGAAAAATTTTGAGCCTAAAGCAATTATTGAATTCCCGAAGTGCCAGCAATTGGCTAGCATGAAAAGAATTATTGCATGAAAAGCAAACATAAATTTATTGCCAGCAGAAAAGAACAATTACATTAATTGAGCTTTGGAGGTATTGTTGTATTGTCAAGTAAAATCATCTGTTCATACAAGGGCTTGATTTTTCAACTGGCAAAATATTATGAACCTGACTTCCTGGTTTAATCCAAGCTTTGCAAAATCCAAACATTTAATACTTAAGAAATTCAAATCTTGGACTGTATTTATTAAAAGATCTGATAACTAATGCAGAAATGCTTACATGAATAACAGATTTGGACTAAACACTGTAAATTCATGCATTTACTTTGTTCTGCCCTTATGTAAATATTAGTCGATTTAATAGAAGTTCCTTCACTTTTCCATGGCTTTCTTCACGTGAACATGTCAAACAGTTACAAATATTTATATGATAACCTATTATAACTGCATCTAACGCAATCACAATAAGAAAAGAGGAAGGGGAAATTGTTTTTCTTTGACTTTCAGCTCAAATCATGACACAGAGTTTGTGCTAAAAGGTGACTTCAGAATCTCTTACATCCTCATATGTCTCACCCCTTAAAAAGTGCAAATTTAAAAAAATAATTTGATCAGAACATCATTAAATTTGTACTTTCAGAATCATTTATGAAATACACTATGCTGGTAAGAGTTAATTAAAGACATGCATGTCACAGATGTTCACAATTTAGCTCATTCATTTGCAGGTCAAAGACAAGTTTTAAACAAAGCAGCAAGTTCACACGTGCCCTTTCTAAAGTCTGGGAGGAAAGTACGAAGTATTGGAACAAGCTTAGGCAAGAGACCCTCCAAGGCCTGGCAAGAGCTTTACTGGCCGTCTAATATATTAACAGAGAATCTGGGTTCCCATATTTCTTCAGTAAGCCTCCATTTGATGGGCTTACTTTGATTACATAATGATTCAAGTTAAAAAATCTATTTATATGCTACAAAATTATTCTAACTCTAACAGATTTGCAGGTCTGGTTTAAGTATGTATGTCATCCACACTCCACCCCCTCCCCCCCCCCCCCCCCCCCCCCCCCCGCTCCATTTTTTTTTTTTCTCAGTAACAGGCAAAAAAGTGCCTTCCAATGTGGCATCTTGCATTTGGTAATGGCTACAAAGGTCATGGTGGAAACAGGCATGGTCTTTGTGGGGATCTGATAGACCAAAGGGTAGTTTTCTGTTCTACCATCTACTAGTAGAATAATCTGAATAAACTATGTAACATCTCAAGAGTTTATTTATTTATTTATTTATTGATTGATTGATTGATTGATTGTACCAGGGATTGAACTCAGGGACACTCGACCACTGAGCTATATCCACAGCCCTATTTTGTATTTTATTTAGATACAAGGTCTCACTGAGTTGCTTAGGGCCTCACTAAGTTGCTGAGGCTGGCTTTGAATTCCACGATCCTACTGCCTCAGCCTCCCCAGCCACTAGGATTATAGGCATGCGCCACTGTGCCAGGCTCAGAGTTTCTTTGTCCATACACTTGGGGAAATCATACTTACTTTTTGGGTTGTGGCCAGAATTTGAAATAACCTAAGCAAGGTACCTGGCATACTGTAAGATCTTGGCAAATAACTCTTGATTTTTGTTCACTTGCTACATTTTGTTTGTGCTGCTTTTGTGGTGGTTCTGGTGGGGATGGTTATTGTTTTGTCTATTCCTTCCAAGAGGATGTTGTGTTTGCTGGTTTTTTAAAAGCAAACATCGTGCTGTGGTAACTTGATCCCCTTCTCATGACCTACACCAGTACTTCTCCACAGTGGGTAGTTTTGCCCCCTAGGAGAATTTGGCACTGTCTGGGAACTACATCTGGTTGTTATAGCTTGTGGGGAAGAGGTTTTTGCTCCTGCCATCTAGTGGGTAGAGGCCAAGGATGCTGCTAAAAATCCTACAATGCATGGTACAGTCTTCCCATCCCTATCAAAGAATTACCCAGTTCAAAATAGTATAGTGAAAAGGTTAGRAAAACCTGGTCTACATGACAAACATAATCAACTCTAGAGACAGGGTTTCTAGAGACAGGCATCAGAATATTCATTGTAATTTTCAACTATCCATGAAGGGAAATAAGCATAAATAAGTATAGATCACTTTTGAACAGGCTGCCTAAGTTAGTGGGTATAGGTTGGTGTGTTTGTGATTTTTTTTTCAATATTACATCCATTCTTACTTCAGATATAGAGAGTGATGAAGTAGATGTTCTGCACCATCAATCTTGATCAAATGGTTAACTGGCCTTATACAAAACAGTTTTCAGTAATGCCTTAAATTAATTCTTTGAATTAAAAATCTTGATATGGGTGTGTATACATCTAAAAGTTGATCAGGCTGCATACTTAAAACTAGCATACTCCACACTGTACAATATAAGAATATATACTATGTATTTCAGTGTATAAAATTTTTATGAAGAAAAAARTCTGACATAATTCAAGTGGAACTGGACTGAATAAAGTGAACTTTGCTTAGGAGAGGACAGCATACAAACTAACAGTTTATGGACCCTTCTTCACATTTGAAATACTTATGCACATCAAAGAAACTGAGCTGCCATTTCAAATTATACTTCTTTAAACTGCTCCTCTCAATCCAACAACTTTTATTAGTGTACTGTGAGTTTCAAATCAAAACTTCATTTATATCTTTAAAAATAGTCACAATTAATTCAGAAGTTCTGTTCTCTTTTGAACTCAAGTTAGATCGTTCTATTCTATGTTGGTTCTCACTTGAGGAATGGTATTTTCAAATTGTTGCAATAAAGAAAAATCCAACCAGGGAATCTGGAGGCAGAAGCAAGTAAAAACCTGCAAAAAGGAAAAACCATGGCAATATTCAGTGTTCTACTTCCCCCTGCCAATTTTTTGAACAAACAATATACATAAGAGTTTTCACACCCTCTCAAGATGTTAAATAAAAAGCCAAAAAAAAACACCTAATTTATAATAAGGCAATAATTTGGTTTATTTTTATACTACCACTTTATTCAAAAGAGAATTTTTAAAAATCATTCATAGGAGATTCTGTTCCTGCATATAGGAATGATGGAGATTATATGAACAATAGAGAGCCTACATTCTCTACTTAATTTTTAAAAATGTAAAAAAGTTTAGAAACACTGAAACAGTATAATACCATTCTAGGAAAAATAGACTACAGCCTACAGTCTTATAAATAATGCCACTGGCAATAAAGAAAAATGTACTTTACACTCAAGGTAGTGTATTTAAAAAAAGATTTGACAGTATAGGCAAGTCTGTGGGGAGGGGCAGTCATGTCCATAGACGGAAGAGTTTTCTACATATTATAAATTTTGTAGGAAGCAAAAGGAATTTGAAATTGAAAATCTCGATCAAAGCCCTTGATGGTCTATTTTTTTTTTAAACTCAGTGACAGAATTTAATGMATCTGATTCCAAGAAACCAGAATCAGTGGTTCTTATAAAGCCACAACAAGCCTCGGCAAAGGCTGAGAAACAATGATTGAAATCTAGCAGGTTGCAAAGAATATGATTGATTAGGTCAACAAAGGAAACCTTGAAAGAYGTGACTCAAAGTCACTTTTAAACATTGGACAATAAACTTAAGAATTCTCATCATCAACCTACTAAAAATGGGAAATTTACATAATTTCATTTTAATGTTGGTGAACTCATGGGCTATAGATACATGACGATTCTTGGGAATGAGTGGGGGATTACACTCTGTCAAAGGCAAAGAGYCTGAGTTTAAGCAAACTTGCCCATTCCTTCAACTGTGCCCTTATCATTCACCAAGCACCAGGGTACATGCACTGCACAGACAATACCACAATCCCTGTCTCCAGCAGGTAAAGGGTCAGTGGGAGGCTGGTTGGGCAAATCTGAGATTAGAAGCACAGACATGCTCCATTTTGCAAATATTTCCTTGGATTCTGGATGAGGTCCTGCATCCTATTTCCATCTTGTATTCACCCAACTCAGAGTGTAACAGCTACTAGCATTGAAAATGTCTTTCTTCAGAAATAGCTGAGGTTTAGATAAATCCTTATAACTGTAAAAAAGCCTGAAATCCTTCCGTTCTAACTCTTTGAGGAGGCTGTACCAGAATCGAACGACGCTGCTGTCACTGCCGCTGACCTCAAACCCAGGCCAGTGGAGATGAATCTCAAAGATGAGCTGTCCAATCTGTTCAAGGACATCTTCCAGAATAAGATTTTCCAAAACTTTCCATTCTGCACTTTCCAGATCTGCCTTGAGAACATCAATCTGTAGTTAAACAATGAGATGAGATTAAAAGATTTGGAAATCACTATGAAATATATCATTTTCCTATCAGGAGTCTCACATCATAACCCCCTCCCAAGGTAGCAGAAATTTTAAAATTTTAGAGTTAAAGGTCATTTTCAAGGGGACATGATGCTACCAAGATGCCAGGTGGAACTCATAATGGACCCTCTTGCTTTCTGTCCAATGCAATTGGCTACCCAGGAAGAAACTGGATCATGTGTATCATGGAGCTTCTCCCCACAGCCTGTCCAAGAAACACAGCCAAGTCCTGACAGAATAATGGCCATGGGAGGGACTGACTGAGGGCCACTGCCTGCAGAGACCATCTCAAGCATTGTCCCCCTCCAACTTCATCAGGACTGGAAATCAAGGAAAGGATTTCCAAATTCTGAATATTGGACATATAGAAAAATTATTATCCCATGAATTATTTCTAAATGCCAATATAGCATCCTTTAAAAAAAATCCTCTGCCTATTTACTGAATACCAGTTTATATCCCAGGTAAAATGGAGTACAGCAAGAAGTTGGGATGGGAGCGAAATATTTTGCCATTAATCAAGTTATAAAAATTAGCTCCTTTCTGCTGGCTTTGCAAACAATCCATTAGAATAATGGACCTCTCAATACCTTATAAAAGCAGGACTGGGGTGTGGCTCAGTGATAGAGCACTTGCCTAGCATACACAAAATCCTGGGTTCACTCCCCAGCACCAAAGTATTCAAAAAAATAAAATAAAAAGCAATAAAATTATTTATATGTGCCTGACACCAATCTAACTGCTTCCCTTTGTGATATCCATTTAATTACATCTTAACTGTGCTGCAAAGGTAATCCTATCAGGATCCCTAATTAACATCTGGGAAATCAGACTCAGTGAGTAACCCATCCCAGTCACACAGCTGGAGAGGCAGTGGTGAAATTTAACCACCATGTTGCCTCCCCTCTGCCCCCAAACCACAAGGGGAAAAAATGGTAACTCAAAATCCCAAAGAGGTTTTAGGTTTGAAAAGCGAGATGCTATTTATGGAGAATGAATATATGGGTCAGCAAGTAGCGTTTTGTTATCAGTATCACTGCTTGACATTTGCAAAGCACTTTTCAAGGGGATCATTTTACCACACAAAGGAAAGCTGGCAGCATTCAGAAACAAGTTGGGACAGTTGAAATGGAGGGAATCATGCAAAGAARCTACGGCTGTAGTCCCAAGAGGTGATAGCAGAACCATAAATAGCCCTTCAGGAAGCTGCGGACTGAAATCACTAGTCATTGTCCTGTCCCATGGAAGTGAAAATATCTTTGCTGGTTTAGGATGGCTAAACCCCAAGACGGATCCTGCCCAGCCTCTCCTCTCTCTCAGTACATGTCTATTGGATAAGTTTCTCATGTGAGGCTGAAAAGTGAGGCTCCCAGTGCCATGGAAACATTCCTTGTGTGACTTCAGAGTTGGAGACAGGAGAAGGTACGCAGAACTAACATATAATTACTCCAAGAAAATGGGCTTTGCCTAGTGACCTGGGACCTGCAGGCAAAGGCTTCAGCTTCTTGCTTTGGACAGTACCTCCTGTCCACCAAGAAAAGAACAATGGTACSATCCCAAGAATCCCCAGAGAGCTTACTGGGGATTCTTAGGAYCTTAAAACAGTTTGGGGGCAAATGGTTTCAAAATCAAAGAGAAAAAGTAAAAAAAGAAAAAAAAAAGAAAAAGAAAAAGAAAAACCTCTTTGTTAAAGTAACTGAGCAAGGCCAGGTACCGTGGGAACATACACCAGGCTAATTAATTCTTGAAAATTAGACACAAAGGAATTAATTCATGCTTTTTTTTTTCCCATCTCTGCTGCCCTGGCACTTCCATGGCTTTGTTTAATTTTGGCAGTTTTCACCATAATATTCCTGGATGAAGAGTAATTAAACTGCCTAAAGAAATATTTAATCAAAGTTTCACAAAGTGTTCTAATTGGTACAGAATATATCCAAAATTCAAAATTCAGCATTTGTTATATCAATCCACAGAGCCAARAATTTCTTTGGTTCCTTACAGATTTATTTTCGACATTGTTTTCTGTGAGTTTGCATCTGATGAATGTCATCAATAAATCAGAGTATTAAAGGACAGGGTAAAGTTAATCAACTTAAAATTGACCTAAAAACTATTCTAGTAAGGTATAGGGGAATATACTTTCTAGATTTTTTCCAAACATTTTAAAAATAAAACCAGCAATTAGAAGTTATGAACAACTAGAGGAAAATCAAATTAATAGACTAAACTATAGCAAATATAAACTTTCTTTAGAAATCCAATTTTATTTACAAAAATGCAAATCTATTTTAAAAGGCACTTTTTGTGCTTTCAATAATGATAATATCCCCACCCTGTTTGATCCCAGTGACCAAAAATTCCCACTTCAGTCAGAATTGTCCAGGTTGATCTACAACACTCAGCCTAGGGGTGGTACAACCCTGAGGCTCACCTAAGCTCTCCCCTGTCTTCCAACCTGAGATCACAGCCACCCAAAATGCATTGAATAAAACATTCCTCTYTCCTGCTGTGCTTTTTCTATTTCTTGCATTTCAGAATGTCCCATTACCATTATTATTTTGCAAATGTAATTTCCATTATTACTGCATAATGCATCCAATATTATTGTTATTATAAAGCACTAAACATTTCTGAATAAGATATGCCACTTTTAAGATTCTAATATCAGCTTCCAACAATTAGGGCACTAAAAAATCATGCAAATGATTGTATTGGAATAATCAAGTGCCAATCCTAATATAGTTAGATTAGATGAAATCAGGTTTCTAGAGAAAAACAACCAAGTGTTAAAAATCCTTATAAATTCTGGAATAAGTGAAGACATATTTTGGGTAGAAGGGGCTCAAACAACTTATTTGATGTTAGAGGGGTTTTATTTCCAAGATATTAAAGGGGTTCTCCTATCAAATATTATCTCATTTTCCTTGTATCTGAAATAGCCAATAAATTGCCTTTCACAAAACTTTTTGAAGAAATGAGAATTTTAATTTTAACTGGATTAAGATGTGATTGGCAGATTTCCTTCGGGCACAAGGTTTTCCCTGTGATCATGCACCCAGATTTGCAGATGAGATGAAAAGGGAGGAAGGGGGATGGGTGTTTGAGAGAGTACCACAGCCTCCTTGGTGGTTTAAACAACAGAAACATTCTGTCTCCTAGTTGTAAAGACCAGAAGCCCAAGGTCAAATGTCAATAGGGTTGCTTCATTTTGAGAGTCCTGGGAAAGAAATTGTTTATGCTTCTCTCCTAGCTTTGGGAGGTTTGCTGCTAATCCTTAGCATTCCTGGGCTTCTGTGTCACCTGAGCTCTGCTTTCATCTTTATATAGTATTTTCTATGTGTCCATTTCTATGTCCAAATGGCCCCTTTGTATAAAGACATCAGCCATCTTGGAGTGAGCCCACCTTCTCCACTATGACTTCTTAACTAAGCACATCTATAACAACCTTATTTAAATAAGGTCATCTTCTGAGGTACGGGGGGCTCGGACTTCAACACATTCATTTTGTGGAGACATAATTCAACCCATAACAATGTTCAAGGCAGCTATCTCAGTGGGCCTTTCCAAAGCAATACGTGTTCAGGAGCCAATTCCCACAGCCAATGCTGGAAAAGCTGCCTTACTAAAAAGATCCAAGGACTGACAACTCTCTGAGGCAATCATGGTATCACCCCGCCAGTCCCTACATCAGCCAACACTGAAAATTACAACTTTGCTAAGTACCTAACCCAGAGCAGGTCGACAAGCCTCCAAGGCCAATTGACACTCCTGTTGTGAAAGCCCTGTACTTCATTCTTTGCTTCCTCCTCAGCCACACAGCCCAAYGCAGCAGCTACAGCCTATCTTTGGCACTTTCCCATTCCCTACATGCATCCCTCTTGTCCCTCTGGAACTCCTTCAAGCACTCAACATCTTCCCATCTTCAGCTCCTCACCCAAGACTTTCCCTCTTGAATAGGGCTGTCCCAAAGGACAGGCAAATTTTGTTACATGTTGGCTGGCTTCCAAGAGTACAAAACGGTGCTGCACCACCTTTTTTGAACTGGGGATTGAACCCAGAGGCGCTTAACCACTRAGCCACATCCCCAGCCCTTTTTTTATATTTTACTTAGAGACAGGACCTCCCTGAGTTGTTTAGGGCCTCATTGTGTTGCTGAAGCTAGCTTTGAACTCACAATCCTCCTGCTTCAGCCTCTGGAGCTGCTGGGATTACAGATGTGCACCACCATGACTGGCCACCTTTCTTTCTTTTTGTTTTTTTTTTTAGAGAGAGAGAGAGAGAATTTTCTTAATATTTATTTTTCAGTTTTCAGTGGACACAACATCTTTATTTCATTTTTATGTGGTGCTGAGGATCGAACTCAGCGCCCCATGCATACCAGGCAAGCTCAATACCCTTTGAGCCACATCCCCAGCCCCACCTTTCTTTTTTAAAAAAATCTTTAATGGTACATTCTGTACATAATAGTGGGATCCACTGTGATATATTCATACATGCACATAAAATAATTTGGTCAATTTCATTGCCTAGTATCTTGCCTTTCCTTCTCCTCCTTCCTTCCCTGACCCCCATACTTTACTAAAATCCATGCGATTACCACCCACCATCAACTCCCCCTACTTTTTTTTTTTCGCTTTTTTCTATCTTCTACACATAAGATAAAAATAAAACTCTTGACTTTATGAGTCTGGCTGATTTCATTTAACATGATGTCTTCCGGTTCCACACATTTTTCTATGAATGACACAATTGTGTTCTTCCTATAGCTTAGTAAAACTCCACTGTGTATATATACCACATTTCCTTTATCTGCTCATCCACGGACAGACACCTAGGCTGGTTCCATAATACAGCAATTGTGAATTGTACTGCTATAAACATGGGTATGTATGTATTTACTATAGAGTGATAACTTTAATTCTTTAGGATAAATACTGAGG